CCAGCTCCCCCCTCCCTGTCGAGGCAGGGGAGCCACAGGAGCATCACTGCTCGATGGGATCCCAGGGACTGCTCGGGTGGCTCCTGCAGGACAAGGAGATGAAGGCTGGACTGATGCTGGTGCATTGCAAGGGTGACGAAGACCCTGAGGTCAGCTGTAGCCTGCCCGCAGCCCCGTGCTGCCTAGCACTGCTGGCCCGAGGGCTCACACCGCGGCCCCGTCGGGGCGGAGGATGCTCCGGGCGGGAGGATCCCGCGGCTGGACCCGCGCGGGGAGAGATGCTGTTCGCAGGCACCAGGCGGAGCTGGTGCGACAGGGACGGGCGTCGAGTCTGCTCGCTAGAATTAGGGCGATTGGAGTGATGATGAAATAACAGCAACCATCATAACAACAACAGCAACAACACTAATGGTAATAAAGGAGGAGATCTGGCAAACTGCAAAGAGCAAGAGGGGAGGGAACAAGAGGAAAATGAGCATCACTGCTGCAGCATGTGCAGGAGAACAGAGGGACCCCCAGCCACGGCTCCAGGTCCCTCCCGTGCAGGTTACAGCCCCACAGCTGCCTGGGGGGCTGCCTACACCTACATGTAAACACCCATAAAATTATGCAGAACTCCTTTGCAGAAGTCTTTGCTGCTGCTTATCACCATCTGCATCTCCTCAGGTCACAGGGAGTCATTGCCTGTCAAACTCGAGCTCTGAACTGAGGTGATGAGAACACACTCCCCAAACAAATCTTTGTGTAAAGCAGAATTCAGATATATTTAAAGAGAAAATACCTCTTTGTTGTACTGTTGGGAAGTAAGTATGATCAGATATGGCTTTTCTTTGAATAATGCCACTCTTCCATCATATTCTTCCAATCTCTAAAAAAAAAATTTAATCCTACTTGAGAAGAAAAAACTTCTGTTCAAGATGGGAGTTACTTCAGCATCTGCTGCTGAAACATTACTTCTTTTCTCCTGTCCTTTTTGCTCTCCAGCACTCAGCAATTCCCTCCAAGACACTTAACTCCTCTGTTCTTCTGTTAATTAAAGCCCAGTTAGGATTGCCTGCTGATAACTGCACACTGGTCTAACAAACCTGGCCTGTTGTTGGGTTTGGTTTGTTATGGAAACAGCAGGTCTTCCTGGCACTTCTCTGCAAGGGTTTGCTTTTTGCATCTATTGTGCTAATTTGGACAAAAGGTCTCAGTAGAAATGTTTTTCTTGAAAAATATTTAAAAGAACATTATGTTTCACATCTTACATACAATTGACAACATTGATAGATTTTTAAATACCATCAACAGGGGAAGCAAAAAGGAACACAGAGAAAAAATCAGTATAACAGCTGTGACCATGCTACTACCTTGTCTCAGTACATCCCAGGGAAGGATGGTGAGCCCCTGTGGCTGGGGACATCCAGCTGCTTGGGCAGCTCAGGCAAACTGCACCTTCAAACCCCATCTGAAGATGGCACTGCCTATTTTTAATCATCTTAGAACAGCTCTGGGAGTCATATGGCTTATTCCTATCCATTGCACAATAATCCTCTAATCTATTCTGCATTAAAAAAACCCCCAAAACCTTCCTGCAAATAGTGTAAGGTATCCTGCTTTGCCTGCAGCCCCTTGACATCCCTCCAGGGAAAGGTAGCATCTACCTCAGCAAACCCACTACTGAGATGAGCAGAGTGGTCACAGCACGAGGAGGCACAATACACCCAAAAACACTCTGCTGTTGTTTGGGAACAATGAGTCCATCTGGCACAGTGTGTTTTCAGTCAGATAAAAAATTCCTCCTCCTCATCCTCTGCTCTGTTTGCAGGGCTGACTCGTGGTGTTTGCGAGTGGAAGCCTGAAGCTCTCTGCCCTGCTCCTTTGCTCCTCTTGGCTGCAGCAAACAGCGTCTGGGTCCCACCCTGGGAGGGCATGGTGCTGCTGGCCCCATCCATGGGGGCTGGCAGCTGCAGGAGGCTGCTCTGCAGGTCCCTGGAGAAGTGGTTCAGGGGGCAGCAGGTGCTCAGAGGGTTCACCACGCTGAGCCCGGTGTCGACGTTGGTCTCTGTTGGCTGCCGGCGAAGGTGACTCCCCTGGAGAGAAGTCTGCAGCTTGCTGCTCAGCTGCCTGCTCAGGGATGTGCCTTCCCACCATGACTGGGCTGTTGGGCCACTGTGAGAAGAGCAGAAATGCCTATGGAGTTCACCACTGGCTTGCTCGGAAGCAAGGGCTTCACTTTGGTCTGATTTTGTCCTACCCTTCACAGCTCTGACCTTCTGGCTCCTCCGCCTAGGATTACTCTGCTTTACAGGGAGAGTGGCTGGGACAACATCCTGCAGGATTTTTCCATTGCCTGTATTATTATGCTGCTGGGAAAGCCCAACATTTGTTTCAAGGGGCTTGGAGCTGTCTTGAACCTGTTGGAAGAAAATTTGGAGAGAACCCTGTTAACATATAGTTCTAGCTTGACCAAATGACGATGCTCTCACCCAGCCTCACTGTGCTGAGGTCACCTGCAGCAGAGTCAGTCAGAGCCTCACTACAACAGCACAGGACTCTTACAAGCCTGAGTGATGGCAGGTGAAATTTATGAAAGGAGATAATGTGATGCACATGGAGAAAAACAACTCCAGCATCCCACACAAAATACTGGGCCATGAACTGACCAAAACCTGGAGTCTCATCTGTGACAGACAGCACCACATTAGCACTGCTTCAGTGCCTCACAGAGTCTAGGAAACAAATGAAATCTTAAGAATTTTTTTCTAACAAAGTGGAGAACATTCATATGCACAGTGCAGCTCTGGTCCCAGAGCAGGACCATGGTGCACATCCTCACCTGCAGCACACAACAGGGAATTATGGAGCTGGAAATGGTCAGAAACGAACAACAAGGGTAATTGCAAGAACAGTAAAGAAACAAACATGTAAGCTGGGAATTCTGAGCCTAGGACAATAAAACAGTTTGGGAGGGAGAGGATAAAAAGCTAAAACACCATGAGGCACCTGGAGAAACAGCCAAGTCTCATGCAATGCAAGAAGCAGAGGCTATGAAATGAAGCCAGCTGGAGCCAGTTCCAGCTGAAGGAAGGTGGCAGTAGACCTGTGGAAGTCCTTGTGAAAGCATGTTGTGGATACAAAAAATTCACATGCATTCAAGAGGAACCTAGATAAGCACTTGGAAAGGAAAGTCACTGCTCAGTTACCACAGCTGTCTTCAGGGGGGAATGACAAGCCTGTGGGGGTGGCAGTCTACGAGCAGACCCTTGGATTTGGTTTGCAGCATGGTAGAACACTGGGGTGGGGGAGTAAACTGCAGGTCCTTAGAATAAAGATTTTACAGCATGGACCAGAGGGTTGCAGAATAAAGCATCACATGCTAGGCTGTCAGTCTGCTGTGTGGAGCATGGACACAGAAAAAAACCAGAGATTTCCCTAGGGCACATCTCTTCAGCACTTTTGCCTAACTGCAACTCACATGTGAGCTCATAATATTTACTGCAGGCAATGTTGTATCATCACTACACTTACAAAACGTCTGGGTTTGGATGCCAAAAATCTGTTTTCAAAAACATTTATACAGCAATGACTTATCAGAGAAAGATTAGGCTGCTATGATCATTTAAGGTAGGGATGGGAAGATGTTAAACCAGCCTGCTCTAAAAAAGCATTAATACTTTCCATTTCAGGCAAGCAGCAATGCTGCTATTTAACAACATAAAAACATTCTAAGGATCAGGGCTTATATTTATCAGCAGCATCACAGCACTGCCTGATACCCACTACTGCATTCACAGATTCAAAAGAAAACACGAACAAGCAAAATCGTAATGTCCATTTTGAACCAGTTCTGCTTTCCTTGAAACAAAATAAAAAACCAAACAACAAACACAACTCTCAGAGCGCCACAGTCACATACCTGAAGCAGAATTGTGTTGCCTTCATAGTCCTGTGTTTGCCACCTGGTGCTGCTGATAGGAATACACCGGTTAGGCAGGAGAGGCACTAGTTGGCCAATTTCTTGCACCTTGAACTGCAAGGCTGACGACTCCCTGGGCTCAGCAGCCACCCCGATGGGCAGCTGCCTGAGGCAGAGCTGCACAGCCACGTGCTGGGTCTCATGCAGCACAAAGGCACAGAAGTCACCTTTCTGCATAGTTGCTTCTTTCTGTAGGATCATCTCGTAGAGCCTCACTGCATCCTCATAGTTCTCAAAGCTGCAGTAGAGGGTGACACGCAGGATTTCGGGGCCGCGGTGCACCTGTCGGATGCCCCACACAGGCAGCTGCTCATCCAGGCTGTAGAAGTCCTGGTGAGCTGGGACATAGGAGTGGCTTTGCCCATTAGCAATCTGGGCACAGTGGTACCGCCAGGGTGGACGCTGGAATTGCTCATGGACTTGGAAAATCCGTTCTTCTCCCAGGTCCTCATGTAGAAAAAGAAGAACAGATATTCCAGGAAAGCCACAGCTTCTCTTGTGGTATCTCTCATAGTATTTCAATGGAGGAATTCGCTCAGACACCAGGAAAAGGCGAATGTCCAGGCAGATCCACTCCAAAAGCCGATCCAGAGTTTGCTGCAGAAGAAACGAGTGTCCCAGATGGGTGAGAAGATGCACAGTCATCAGAGTCTCTGCTCTGTCATCCATTGCAAAGGCTTCTGACAAAAAATATAAACAGACAAATCAGTGCCTTCCCTCTCCTTCTCCTGCTGTCGGGGCCTCAGTAACAGAGGGTGGACTCTAAGACTTGGACAGAATGAATTCAGGTTTCTAAAGGCTTTGCACAGCGAATGTGCACGAGGTGACAGGTGAAAAGTGGCAAGGGAGCAGTCCCAGGTCACTCACATCCTGTCAGAGCTCAGCTGAAGGCTCATTTTCCCACTCCCAGGACTGGAGCTCTGGTCACTGTGTACATGTGACAGAAGTGTCCAGAAACAGCTCTGTGTCCTACCCCTCCTGTCCCTCACAGCACAGGGCAGCAGAGATGAACAGCACTGAAACTCAGGAGCAGGGATTCCCCAAGGTGGAGTGATGCTGTAAGTGCACTTGCCTGTGGGCAGTGGAAGTGGATCCAGCTAAGTCCTGGAAGTTTGCATCCCAGTCTGATCACCACCCTTTGCAAAAGCAGTGTGTCACTCCTCTCTGAAACCCTCAGCACATTTTCTTGTAGTCAGCAGGTTGGCTTTGGCTCATTGTAAAAAGTTTGTGATCTCTGTGAGGCACACCCTTCTGGGGCATACAGATAAGCCATTCTTTAAAAACAAGGAAGGAAAACAGACTAACAAAAGGAAAAAACCCAACCATGTGAACAAAACAGATAACAATAAGGGCAGATATGAATCAGCCTCAGGAAGGAGGAGCTTTGGGAAAAAATCTCGACTCCTAGTTACACACTTCACAACACAGGTAGCTTGCTGGGTAACTGGACACGGGTCCTGGGTTATTATACACAGTCCATAAAAGCTTTCTCCTTTCAGTGACCTGTTTTCTTCTCTTTCCTCTTTTTCTTTATGTAGAGACACCCATGTAATCAGTAGCCTTAAGCCAAGTACAGGTTTCTTCCTCGCTCCTTGGGTTTATATATTGATACTTAATTCAGTTTATTGAGTAGGTTACTATAGGAATGCTGAAAATGCAACTCTTTCCAGGGCTCTTCTAGCATCTGGACAATAAATCACACTGTCCCTTCATCTCCTTATTTGCCAGCCCAGAAGCAACAGACACAAGTCAACTAAATCCCCATGTTCTATACAGAACTGCCCCCACTACAGTCAGTTTTTAAACCAAACTGGGGCATCCCATGGTGGATCCAGCTCCATCCCATTCAGAGCAACACATCTCTCTCTGCTGACATAACTTCCCTCTCAAACAGCCAAGCACACAAAGCAGTGGCTCACCATGCAGAAACCCCAGCATTATGAAGAGTCTGTTATCCAAAACTATGAACTTTTTTTTTTTAATACAACCCTAACTTTATAATCAACTGGGCAAAACTGCCAGGGTTTAAATGTACAAGCAGCAGTGCCTTGTTTTCCTTTATGGAGATCACTCTTACTGGTAGAAACACACACTGATGCTTTAAAAACCACTCTGACACCCATGAACAATAAAAAAGACTGACTAGAAAATGAGGAGAAAGATTAATTTGCACTCATAGAGACAAACCCACTTGCAGCATTTTGAGCAAGTAACAACCATTGCTGGAGTGAGACCAAAAAATTCCAAACTTTGGACAATTGCAGGAAGACAGTGAAGAGTACAAGTGCTCAAGACATTAAAACACTCTAGATGAGTTCTGAACAACACAATTTCACTAAAATATGGAAAAGGAAACAATTCATCAACTCTTTGCTGCAGGGCAGGGGCAGGCAGTCATCTGCCTTCCTGCGTGTGAAGAGAAGTGGAATTTTGTCTGCACAAGAAAACACAAACTAAGAAAATTCTTCAGGGCTTGGTTTGTAGCTGGAAGAAGCTACAGGCTCCTATGAGCAGGTTCACCCCACCTGCACACTCCCTCCCTGGGTGATTGCTCTTGCTACTACACCACAGTCTCAGTACCTGCCTTCCCCTTCCCCTTCCCCCACGGAGATCCCACCACTCCTCCACCAGCAAACTGCAGCAAAGAGGGAGTGAGTAAGCTGCTGCTTTCCTTGCACAGTCCCATCCATCACTGCTGGCTTGCACAGCTCCCAGACCTCATCCCACTGGATAAAATCCCATGGGGGCAGCTGCAGCAGCATAGTGAAGGTGATAAAGTTCTGGTAATGTGAACTCTTGCAAAGCAGCTGTGGGGAGTAAGGGCTGGTGACCTGCAAGGAGTGGGAGACATGGTATTTGTACTGTTCTCTCCAGCTCCTGCTGTAGCCAGTGGGAGCCAAATTGTTTTCCAGACGAGCAGGTTCCTCCCACAGAGACTGCTGAAGGTGAGCAGTATCTCTCCTGTGGCTGCCAACCATTTCGAGTGTCACCACATTTTACAACAGCCATAAAACTGAGTCTGCTCACAGAAAGGTTATGTGATGAGCTCTCACACTGTGTGTTCTCTCTGTGCTTGAGCCAGTGGGACAGGGAGACAACCTCACCTCTGAACTCTGTCTGATGGAGCTGCCTGGAAAACAGTTTTAGGGCTGGTACTCAGCTCTCCAGCAGCTCCAGGTCAGGAGTACTCACCACTTTTACCATGAGGAACACGAAATGAACTGAACCTCAGCCTTTGCCTGATCCTCTCCCCCACAGAAGTGCAGCCTCAACACACACCTCAAGCACCATCTAGCAGAGGAGCACTCTGTGCTTCTCCTCTTGCTTTGACATCTTAATGTCCATGGGGAAGGACTCAAATCCAGGCTGCTCAGCCCCAGACGAAGGTATTCTCATGCTCTCACTTTATCTCAATCTACTGCCCCCACCTAAACCTTGGGATAAAGCCAGGATTCCATGGCCCTCACTGCTGCAGCATGCTGAGTTTAGACCCTTCATCCACTGCTTTTCTCAGAGGCACCAAGAGGTCCTGGGTGGAAAAGGGATGAGTGGCATTAGAACAAAGTGCTGACTTCTGCTGAGTCTTGGAAGAAAAGTATAGTACTGATTTCACTCCGATCTCTGAATGGAATGAGGCTTTGCCTTCCTCTCTGCTTCCCCTTCCCCCAGCTTTCCAGTTTGGCTGCCAAACGGAAAAGCACATTATTCACAGTGACCTATTGAACATGCCAGGAAAGATTTCTTCAAGAGATTAGAAAAATAGCAGTTCAATCTTGTGCGAAAGTCACTTAGCTGAGGGGAGGGAGGTGGGAGGGAGGTGGGAATAATTCTGACGTGGTACTCAAAAAAAGTATCCTGAAGCCCATTCCCACATGGCAGTGACTGGTAACACAGCAAGCTGCTGGGACAGCCCAGCTTTGGGTAAGAGCAGGTAAAATATGAGCATTTTCATATGCCACCAATATATATATTGGTAAGCCCTGCACAAAATAAAGTCCAAATGTAAACAACTAACAAACCCTTCATTGTGTGAAGCCTCAGAGAATACTGTCTGCTGTATGTCTTAAATCCTGTGGTGGAAAGGCACAGCAAAATAATTAAAACTTAGTTTCCATAATGAATTCTTAAGGTGTGCCTAGTCCTCTGCAGTGCTCAGAGCCCTTCGCTCTCGCTGACACCACCGAGACTGATGGTGCAACACAGGATTTAATAAGTTCATAGTAACATCTGTAAGCAAGGTACTTTATAAGGATTATTAGAATGTAATTAACTTGAGAGAGACTGGGTATGAATTACCTAAGCACCTCGGGAGAAAGTCTCATTAAACACATGCAATGACTTGGCCTTCTTCAAAGACTTTTTTTTTGTTTTTGTTTTACACCAGTCTCAATCTCTGCCTATAACAAGGACGAAACTACTAAATTAACCTTCTAGATGACAAGTACACCATAGACAGTACTGAGTCAAAAATCAGGATTAAGGCCTTACTTGAATACAATGATCTTTTCAAAGATTTTGGCTCCAAACCTTGTGAGTCCAATTCATCATCACTTTGGAGGACAGTAAAGACCCAATCACCAAAAGAGCAAAACCTCATCTAACCTACTGCATTTATTTACATAGACTTCTCTCCCAAACGATTCTTGTTTCCTCTCTTTAACCAGCTAACAGAAAGTAGGAATCCAGCAATGCTCTGTCAGCAGACAGAAAATGTAGAGAGCTCCACCACATGCTGTGAGTCAGGATCCAAGCACATAGACACACGAAACAGAACAGGAGACAAAAGGAGAGTTACAAAGAGGAGAGGGCCAGGGGAGATTGCTGCAGGCTGCAGCCTGTCTTACCTTGCAGAGCTACCCGAGTGCTGACCCTTGGCTGCTGCTGGACCCACAGCTCCAGCCTGGCAGCACATCAGCACCACAGGCTGCAACTCCTCCCATTGACAGGACCCTGTGACTTGAGACTCCTGCTTGGAGAAACTCTACGCTGGGAGATGCACGGACAAGGTAGAGTTTCAAGACTCACAGGAGATAAAATGTAAACTAAAATGAGAGAGGTTCCTCCTGACACTCAGCCACAGCAGCTGGGGGAACAGACACCCTCACAGCACTACAGTCACCCCATCAGAGGGACATCTAGGATTAAACCACGTTTTCCCTGTGCACTTAGTGTCTATATTTATAAAAGTAGAGCAAAGAAGTTACCCTCAAGCAACAGAGAGTTTGGGGCAAGTGCAAGGCTGAGAGAGCAGCGCTGAGACACAAACTTCCTATTAGTAACAAATATGTTATGAAAGGCCCTGCATGTCCTTGGCTGACTTTTGTATTCAGCTCCCACCACATCTGCTCTATGTGTCCTCAGCTCTCTGTGAGGCACTTGCACACAGATCCATTCTTTCTGTTTTCTGTTTGTCTGCAGTAGCTCCAAAAACCCTCAAAGCACTCCACACACCCAAACCAAGATCCACTAAACATAATGAGCCAATAGGTGGTTATATCCAAAATGAGTATTTGATAACAAAGTGAGATCACAGAAGGGTGCAGGTTGGAAGGCATACGAGTAGGTGAGTGAGCCAGTGAGGGCAAATCCACAACCTCTCTTGGGCAGTCACTCCCAGTGCATGGTCACCTGCACAGTAAAGAAATTCTTATGTTTAGGTGGAACTTGCA